GTAATAATAATCCATTGTAAGCTCACGTGACGTTGTGACAAGCTGTCACAATCTATGAAATAAAATTTAATCGTGTTTCGTTAATAATTAAGTACCAAGAGAGTAACCCCGTGTGATCATAATACAGATCGTGAAAAAATGATTTATGGGTCATTGATACAAAAGCAGATTTAATTTTTTTAATTATATAGCAGTGTTATAAAATTGATAATCTATGCCTTCGTTGTTATCTCGATTCCAATTTCATTTGGAGAGAACATTTGTATAAATTGAGTATAGATTTCTTCCCATTCTTTCATCAGATCATCGAGCCATGCAGTACTTAAACTGCTTTTTTGTATATCACAACGTAATAACTCTTCACCAACTAGCCTTTCCCGATCTGTTAAGAATTTATGATATTTTCTGGTATCTTCATTCCTTTTTATTCCTCCACGATAATAGCGTATATCTCTCTCCAGGTCACCACGGAAGCGTCCCATTGTCCATCAATTTTTTTCAGCCTCAGTAATGACCGAAAATTTCTCGGGATCCATTCTATATTCGATGGCATATTGGCGTAAGCCAACCTCTGGCTGATAAAGGTGGGTTTTGTTAGGTACACTTACTTGAATTTCCAGTAAGCTCTGTATGGCGATTATAACTTTCTTTTGATCAATACGAAAAGGACAATTAAGAAAATAGTGATCATTTTTATCTAGACAGCTCCAGTCACCCCATATACCTAAACGTGTGTGTACTTCATCACATATCGGACATTTAGCTTCTGAATTGGTATATTTAAAAACATCTCGGTACCATACATTTGATTTAGTGTAGGACAAGAAAGGGAAACATTTATGTAATGCATCATGGATTATACCTTTCTCTTCTGGAAACTTGAAAATTTTGATAATACAGTCCTGTGAAAGGTGATTATTGGTCTTTTCGATTTGTGGAGATTCGGAAGTTTCAGACTTTATCCAAGGATTGAGTCCAGTCTCTTCTGTATATACTCTATATAAGCTTAAACAAATTTTATCTGTCAAATGACTTGGTGAATCAACCAATTTAGCGTGTCAGTTTAAATATTTAGGAGTTAAAACTTTATCCATGTTATTCTTTATATGATTGCAAATTCAAATTGAGTATGAATTATGTCTTGTCTCGCTTATATAACAAGGATGCTTACGTGCTGAAACTCTGTGCATATCCCGAAATAGTAA